AGCACTCTTTGCTGTTAAAATTTTCAGCTATTAAACATAAAGTTTGAAGAACTGTTTACAAATAAATAGCTAAAATAATATATTTGAAAGATGCTAACATGTTCAATTTTGTTCAAAACATTCTGAGGGATACACAGGAACATAAAATAACACCACATTAGTATCTACGTAGTTTGTCACAATGGAATCCACAAAGGCTATAAGGAGAATCTATAATGGTTTCATTTATAGATCTAAGAGCAAATAGAGATTAGAAAATTATATAGTCACATTAAACCAAGAACTGAGACTAATCATACTTTTTCACCAATTTCATCAATAATTATACTGTAGCATTAACACTTGAAAATAACCCATTTTCCAGTAGTTACTTCCAGAGTAAATGCATGAAAATTAATAACCCAAGTAAGCAAAATTATTCTCCACAGTAGATATAAACAATTAATTCCTTCACCAAATATTATGTTCTTACTACATGCCAGGCACTATTCCAGACCAGGTATTACAGCAGCTAAGAAGAAACAGTCCTTATTATGCTCATGGAAAATCTGACAAAGTTTGATGATGCTAAAAGCCTTGCTCCAAATAATTTAAAACTGAAAAGAATACAGTTTATTTTGTGCTTCTGGATCATCAGCCTATCTAACAAATCATGATCTTTCAAATTTTTAATTACTTGCAAAATAAAAATAGGAAAAAGAATTTTGTAAAAATGCCAGTCTTATACAGCTATACATTCAAATTAGTTCAAAGGCAGTAAGTTACATGTTCACACTTAAAAATTTACACACAGGGGCACCAGGGTGGCTTAGTCAGTTAAGCATCTGACTTCGGCTCAGGTCATGATCTCATGGTTCATGGGTTCAAGCCCCACGAAAAATTTAAAAAATAAATAAAAAATAAAAATTTATACACATCTCAAAAATTAGCAATTAAAATGCAAATTTCAAACAGGATATAAAACCATATGTGTATATATATTTGTGTGTGTATATACATATACACAGAATTTTTGAAAAAATAGATCACAGAAAACTGGAAATATTAACAGCGGCTATTACACAATGGAATCATGACATTTCCTCTTTATATCCTTTATACACATAACATTTTTTAATATATAATTTGTAAAATTGGTTTCCATACAACACCCAGTGCTCATCCTACACATAATTTAAAAAAAATTTTTTAACGTTTACTCATTTTTGAGAGACAAGCATGAGCAGAGGAGGGGCAGAAAGAGAGGGAGACACAGAATCCAAAGCAGACTCCAGGCTCTGAAATGTCAGCAAAGAGCGGACACAGGGCTTGAACTCACAAACCATAAGGTCATGACCTGAGCCAAAGTTGGACACTTGACCGACTGAGCCAACCAGGCACCCTATATATATATTTTTAACTGAAGTGTAATTGTCACAAATATCCTATTAGTTTCAGGTATACATCATAGTGATCTAATATTTTTATACACTACAAAATTACCCCAACAATAAGTCTAGTTACCATCTGTCACTATATGAAGTTATAATATTGAGTATATTCTCTATGCAGTATATTATATTCCCATGACTCATTTATTTTATAACTGGTAGTTTGTACCTCTTAATCCCCTTCACTTATTTCACCCACCCCCAACATCTGCCCCCTCTGGTAACCAACAGTTTGCTTCCTGTATCTATGAGTCTGTTTGGGTTCTGTTTCAGGTTTTTTATTGTGTTTTAGACTCCACATACAAGCGCAAACATACAGTAACTTTCTCTTATTTCACTTAGCATAATACCTTCTACGTCCATCCACATTGTCACAAAAGACAAGAGCTCATTATTTTTATGGCTGAGTAATACTCCATTGTATATATACACACTACATCTTCTTTACCCACTCATCTATAGATGTACACTTAGGTTGCTTCCATATTTTGGACTATTGTAAACAATGCTGCAATGAACATAAGGGTGCATATAATGTTCAAATTGGTGTTTTCATTTTCTTCTGATAAATACCCAGAGTGGAACTGCTGGATCATATGGTGACTCCATTTTTAAGTTTTTGACAAACTTCCACACTGTTTTCTAGAGTGGCTGCACCAAGTTACATTCCCACCAATAGTGTACAAAGGTTCCCTTTTCTCCACATGCTCACCCAACATCTGTTATTTTTTGTCTTTTTGATTCTACCCAATATGACAGGTGTGAGGTGATATCTCACTGTAGTTTTGATTTGCACTTCCCTGATGACTAGTGACGTTGAACATCTTTTCATGTGTCTATTGGCCATCTGTATGTCTTCTTTGGAAAGAGGTCTATTCAAGTCCTCTGCCCATTTTTTAATTGAGTTTATTTTTATATTGTCTAAGTTCTTTATATATTTTGGATATTAACCTGTATTCAGATGTATGATTTGTTAATTTCTTTTCCCATTCGATAGGTCACCTCTTTGGTTGATGGTTTCACAAAAACTTTTTAGTTTAACGTAATCCCATTTGCTTATTTTACTTTTTGCTGCCCTTGCCTGAGGAAACTGGTCTAAAAAAATATGGCTAAGACTGCTGTCAAAGAACTTACTGTCTATGTTTTCTTCCAGTCCAGGAGTTTTATGGTTTCAGGTCTTATACTGAAATCTTTAATCCATTTTGAATTTATTTTTGTGTATGATGAAAGATAGTAACCTAGTTTCATTCTCTGTATTTTCTAAATTCTCTATGATATACTACTGTAATAATGAGAAAAAAAATTATTATTATTTTTTTTTTTTTAATTTTTTTTTCAACGTTTATTTATTTTTGGGACAGAGAGAGACAGAGCATGAACGGGGGAGGGGCAGAGAGAGGGAGACACAGAATCGGAAACAGGCTCCAGGCTCTGAGCCATCAGCCCAGAGCCTGACGCAGGGCTCGAACTCACGGACTGGGAGATCGTGACCTGGTTGAAGTCGGACACTTAACCGACTGCGCCACCCAGGCGCCCCGAGAAAAAAAATTATTTTAAAAAAACAAGGAACTCTTCACTTAAACTCAATTTAAGTCTACTATGACGGCACTGACCAAAATTGCTTCAGAATGCTTTACATTTCAAACATTCCAAGATGCATTTCATAATTATGATGGAATAACTAAAAATAAATCTCCAAATTATTAGATGAAGAAAGACAGCCTAATATACTTTTTAAATGAGTCACTGTGCCCTAATTTTGGTTATTTTGCTCACTTTTTGAGTTAACATATCTAATAATGTAGCTTCAGAGAGACATTAAAATACTTGAATATACTAATTAATAAAATATTATTTTCCAGAAATTATGGAATCCTGCAGTATTAGTATTCTCCATACTGATAGTTCAACACTTTATCTTTCCTTTTTTAAGTTGCTTATGTCTTTAGTTTACCATCAGTGGCTTTTTTTTCTAGTAAGATGAGGATTTTTCCACCTGTGAAAGCAATCTTACCAATCAATGGAGCAACAGAACTGAAAAAACGTATCCATAGAAATGAACATTTGCATGATCAAGTAAAAAAAAACTACTTACGATAAAAATGTTACCCTGATTTCCTCAAATATTTCCAAGCGTAATAGTATGGTTTTTTGGGGAACAAGAGGAAAGTCAACAAAAAAGTTTAAGGTATTTATTTCATTTCCATCCTTAGTGGGCAGGGAAAGGAGAGTTGTTAAAAAGTGCATGTGATAATCTACTATTAAATTAAAAAAAAGACAAACAGGTATATCCTAATACCTTTTGAGGTATATATAAACATGAAAATTTAAAGATTTTCTTTGGTAATAGCCAGAGGTTTCAAGGATTTTTTTCTCCTTTTTGTTTACTTGTATTTTCTAGACTTTCTGAAGTGAATATTACTTTTGTTTCTCCTTCAGGGAGAAATATAGCAATGCAACTAAAATTTTAAAAATTTGATAAATAACATTTTCATGTTTGATATTCCATTGTTAAATAGGAATCTTCCTGGCCAAAGAGAAAAAAATGTTCCTTATGCACAGATTGCTAAATGGAAAATTTATTACGGGACCACAATCCAAAATATCAACAACTCTAAAATCCATAACTCATTTGGTGGTAAATCCTGACCACAGATAAAGCTATTTACAATTATTATTTATCTTACTTAGTTTGAACAGTCATATCTTCTGCTGCCAAAATATTAATGTCCAAGATGCTGCTGGAGTATTTACTTATGGTACATCTACTTTACTAGTAACTTTTCCAAAATCTGACAAATTCTGAATTTGAATACATATATGGCTTCAAAGGTTTCAGATAAGAAACTGTGGATCTTATGTAAACCTCTTTTATTTGTGACATAAATTTATTAGCCTCACTGGAAAACATAAGAACTAGCATATTAACTTCATGCTTGAATCATTAACTACCTGATGAGATTTTAAAAATTAGTCCCTAATGTAAAAAAGGTAACTCCTTCTGGTTTAAGAATCAAAGGACTCCACATTCAATGTCTGTGTATACTTCTCTCCATTATGCACAGATTAAAGATTGCTTATAAACTCAATATTATTGAGCCCTTAGATCACAAAAGAAAAAGTTTAAGAATTAGGTCTAGATTTGTTCATTAATACGAATAACAATGATAGCATATCAGAATATACATGCTCTACAGAAAATAATTTACATGGTTTCATTTACTATGCGATATACTATTTTAGAGGATTATGCTCAGTGACAGAGAAATAGATTGCTAACCTTTTCTGCTTCTAAAACAGCACATATCAATGACAAAATGAGGACTAAAAAACTCAAGTTTATGCCAATAAAATTAAAAACCATAATCACAGCTTATAGTTTTATTAACTTCTAGAAGTTTTAAAACTCTAAGAAACAAATACATCAATACAGAAACCTTAATGTATTAGTTTCATATTTCCCTAAGAAAATATGCCCCCCCCCAAAAAAAAAAGAAGAGAAAAAAAAGAAAGAATCCATTTATTCAATATGGAAGCTTAATGCTCATCATATTAAGGATAGATATTCACCTTCTTTGGGCTGAGCCATAACTGGAGTCTGAGTTTCCTTTGTATATGTGACGATTTCTCGAGGAGGAAAGTCAACTTGTGTAATTTTAGCCATTCCAAGTTTAATAGGTCCTCGTCTAAATAAAGACAAATGTTTTTAAATACAAGAAATGAAACATTTTGACTATATCAAATCATGTTATTTTGGAAAAATAAGAATTAAACATTATGTATCCAACACTGTAATTTAAAACCCTGTTTTATTCAAGAAATTTTAGATGAACAATGAATTGGCTTCATTTTAAGAAAAGAAATTTAGAAGACAGCAAAAACAAAGATATTTCTGAATCATTCATTTATTTTTCACCTTGAAATGGAAAATAATTTAGTTTTTTAGAGCAAATGTGTGCATAATAGAGTAAGAGGATAGGAATTTCAGAGTGGACTGCTAAATATTGTTGGTTATAAGAAATGCTCTTAGCAGGAGGATAGGAATCTTGACTTTTCTGAAGAGTCAGGTATACAGACCTCACTCAGTCCACATTTCATTTCCTTCACCATTAGGAGACTTCAGCTTTAAGAATGGAAAATAAGTTCCTCTTGAAAGCCTTTTTTCTACTTTGCAGAAATTGAGAATCATAAAGTCAATTTAAATTAAAAATTTTAAATCTCTAATCTCTGCATGTGTGATTCACACATGGACAAACTATAGTACAGACTGTCTATACTTGAACTAAAGTAACAGGTATTTTGAACACCATAAAACTACTAAAGTCACCTTCTGTTTTAAACAGAGGGAATACATTCTTTTTTGATAAACAAAAGAAGAGAACTGTAACTGAGGAAAATGGATCAAATAAAAAATACCTTTTTTTTTGGTTTATTAGAATATCTAAATTCTAAATCAAATAATGTGGTATGCTTACAAACTCCCAAAGAAATTCTCAATTATAAGACTGTCTTAAAAGAACATCTAATAAAAGCACTGCTGTAACTTCCAGAATATCAAGCAGGGTATGTATGCACACATACATACATACACAGGGTACATATACACACATACATACATACATACCCATTAATACATATATATGTACATATATATGTAATATAGTAACTTTTCTTATAAAACATCATTTTCAAAATCTTGTACAAAAAAATAAAATGAGTACATTAAATGGATTAATTTTCTGTAAGGTTCCAAATGTGGGCCATAATAAATTTTTAATGTGTTTTCCACTTTAGGAATATCTTAGCTTCAAAGGGAAAAAAGTGCATAATCAAAGAATTAAGTGGGAAAACTTACTCTGACTTCAGACATAATTCCAAAAGGTGTTGGTCATGTGTTTTAGAAGGTACAAATTATCAGTGTAAAACAACTATCTGAGTAAGGAACAATGGCATCTATAAACATTTATAATTTGACTAGAATAACTAAATGAGTGAATGAATGAATTAATGAATAAATCAATACAATCTGGGGCCATGGTGTAGATGACCAACAGCTCTGTTCCTCTTGAAACCTTCTAAGGAAGGAATCATCAGGAAATATTAATATAGGAAAATAAATTAATATTCATATCTAGTAACCCAGAAAAGTTTCAATTGTATGTAGAACATATATCAGAAAAAATCTGGGAAGTTTGTAACACAGCTTAGAAAATTTTACATCAAAAACACAGAAATAAAAAAAAGGACTTTGGAACTTAAACAGGTAAATTTAGGGTACCTAAAAAATCATATACATAAAATATTTCTTTCACTAATGATAGAGGATAAATGAGGTGTCACAGTAAAATATTAACTCTTTCCCTAACTGTATAATGTACATTAGAAATTTAAGTAAAATTAGGACAGTTTCACAAAGAATCAAATTAACTATAAAAGAGGGAAGGTAAAAAATCTATTCAATACCCCAAATCGGAATCTGAGTGAAGCTGAAGAACTGATGGATCTGTATCCCAATGCAGCGTCCTAAATGGTTGTAGGACAACCATGAAGCGTTAGCAAAAAAGGCCATACGTTAGTCAAGCAAATACATTCTATGAATAGGTAAGCTAAAATACTGTTCACAATTAAAAACCACATGTTCTGGTTAGTATGAAAAAAACACCAGGTATCACTCAATGCTTAGTGCATGCCATAAGCATAATGTGGTTAAAGATGCAAACATGCAACCCAGAATAGTTAAAGGCAGTATTTTGAGACTACAGGAAACTAGTATTGCATAATAATGGACAAGAACAGCCAAAGCATACAACACAAATAATATATTATTTTTGGATATCAAGTTAGGCTATAAAAATAGCCAAACTTTTAATTTTCTTAATTAAAAAAACATTAGTAAAAACATCTTAGTTAATATATTATAATCTTGCCCAAAGCATTAAATGTGTGCAGGAAATTGTCATATTGGTAAAGGAAATGAATCAACACATAAGCCTTTTGGTAAGAAAACCAAAGACTATTCCACTGGGATACAAAAAAGCTAAAGTTTCCAAAATGTGACCCCTATGTAATTTATGGGTTAAGCACTGCCTTGGGCTTACATGTCATCTGCTTTAGAAAGCAACTAAAGATTTCTGTCTCTAGGAAAAGATAAATTTTTCCATGAAAAGTGTTTTATGTTCAAAGGACTTACCTAAATAAACTTCTAAAGAATATTAATTCTAAAGAAATATTTGGTTGTGTTTTAGCCTTGCCTACTGGATAAATAACTTACATGGGACCTTCTCCACTTTAGCCAAATCTTATATGACTAAAACAAAAGGTACTTTATCACACTGGCATTCTTATAAGTTAACAGTATATAAGATAATTAGGTTATAGTACTATATGATGCTCATAGTCCTTTATAAAAAAGTTAAGCACAATATATTCAGTACTACCATTTTTGTCAAATGTTTCTCATTTATATAAAGTTCTAACATATAACTAAGATAGCTATAATATTTAAATACAACAAATCATTTCTATACTTTACTTCCTATATAATTTATCAATAAAAACTTTCAGATGAATTGAGCTAGAGAAATTCTTCATATTAAAAATATAAAGAAAGATTCTGGGATTTAAACAGGATTGTGTATAATGTATGTAAAGGTCACTCTGAAGATCTACTTTGTACTAAAAGCAATGAACAGCAACAAACTTAGGCTTTGTTGAATCAGAGGGGGTTCTATGAGCTGCTCTCCAAGGAATGTTCTGTCCACAGCCTTTACATTATATGAGAGGGATAACTGTTATCAGTGACATACAGCTCCTTATTGAGGATGCCATTTAAGTCTAAAATTAAGAAAAACTTTGCCTCAAAATACAGCCATTACTGAAAATACATTGTATAACATACAGAATTATATTAAAGGCATCAATAGACATATAAAGTGAAATTCCAACATAATCTAAAAGCCTGAAAGAAAAACTCATCAAGAATGGAAAAAGGAACACAAAGTATGGATTACCCAACTGAGTAACTGTCAGCAAAATTTTAGAGATAAGAGAAGTGCTAAGAGAACTAGAAACTTAATGAAATGCAACTCCAAATCTACAAAGTTAGAGAGAGAACACTTTTCATGGCCTTTTATATTTATATTTATTCGTAAATTATAACCAGGCCCAACAGAAATTTTTGGCATTTAGAAATAGTGATTCAGATATGTCTTAATACCATACTTGGTAATGTCTAATATATCTTTTCCTACTTCTTGAGTGTACTAATCTTGGACGTCTTGCCAAGTAAGTGCAGAGGTTCATACATTTCACACATCTTCATGTATCTTTCCGTTGATATTTTTTATTCTCTTCATTTTTTCATTACCAACATGCCTGCTCAGTTCAAGTTCATTCTGTTTCATTCTCAGATCTTAGCATTCTTTTCAAACAGATTTTTTTTTTAATGTTTTATTTATTCTTGAGAGAGAAAGAGAGAGAGAGGCAGACAGACAGAGGATGAGTGAGGGAGGGGCAGAGCGAGAGAGGGACACAGAATCTGAAGCAGGCTCCAGGCTCTGAGCTGTCAACACAGAGCCTGTTGGGGCTCAAACTCACAAGCTGTAAGATCATGACCTGAGCCAAAGTCAGATGCTCAACCAGCTGAGCCACCCAGGCGCCCCTTAGCATTCTTTTTAAAAGCCATGTATTTAGAAATGCTATTATTTCACTGCCAATAGCACCAATTAATCAACAAGATTAACTATCTCTCTACTATGGAATCTGGAGATGATGCAGAATTCATAGTTTTTATTCTTGTATGTATACATATATACATAAAAAAGAACATACACAGCTCTCTTGAAAATTAATGATTAAAACTGAGTCTGTGCTCTCAAAGTAGACAATGTATGTAGTAAGATTAAAAAGATAACAAGGTCATCTCACTCAAAAAGAGGAATTTTTTTCCTCCTGTTAAACTTCAAAGAAACTAAATTTTATATTCATTATCTAATAAGAACAAATGCCTCTGAAGATATTTAAGTACCTATTTTCTTGTTTTATTACTTACCATTAAAAACCTATACTTTAAACTTAAACACAAGTTAGCACACTATGCTTAGAACTTTTCAGTACAGTGAATATCTTAAAATTAATGATATAATCACTAGAATGTAAGTTCCATGAAGGCAAGGGCCATGAATATTTTATTTTCTGTGGTAACCTATACAGTATTTAACATTAAATTGGCAATTTGATAAATGTGTTCCATATACAAATAAATATTTTTCTTATCAGCGTTTGCTTCCTATACCAATTCACAGTATTTCAATGGTCTCTAATAAATTCTAAGTTTCCCAGTGAAACTCAGAAGGATATGTTCTTCTTTTTTTTAATATATTTTTTGACGTTTGTTTATTTATTTTGAGAAAGAGAGAAACGAGGGGAGGGGCAGAAAGGGGGCGGGAGGAGAGAATCTCAAGCAGACTCTGCAATGTCAGCACAGAGCCCGATGTGGGGCTTGAACTCACGAACTGTAAGATCATGACCTGAGCCGAAATCTGGTGTCAGATGCTTAACCAACTGAGCTACCCAGGTGTCCCATCAGGAGGACATGCTCTAATTCAAATTTAAAAAACCAAGTAGATGTCATACAGTAGTTTTGAAAGCAAACTTGCTAATACTCCATTTAAAATTATCTTTCTACTCCTATTCAAAATCAAGAACAGGGAGTGCAAAATGAACAAAGTATAATATCTACATAAAAATAATGTATAATGAAATAAACAAATTAATAAATACAATAATTCTTTGGGTAAATATTTGTATTACAAGAATGTTGTAGAAGGGGAAAAAAAGCCTTCTCTTGAAAATACCACTTGCTGGGGCGACTGGATGGCTCAATCAGCTAAGCATCTGACTCTTGATTTTGCTCAGGTCATGATCTCACAGTTGTGAGATCAAGCCCCAAACTGGGCTCTGTGCTGGGCATGGAACCTGCTTAGGATTCTCTCTCTCCCTCTTGCTCTAGCCCTCCCCTGCTCGTGCAGAGGCTCCTGAAAGAAAGAAAGAAAGAGAAAGAAAGAGAAAGAAAGAGAAAGAAAGAGAAAGAGAGAGAGAGAGAGAGAGAAAGAGAAAGAAAGAAAATACCACTTGCTTATTACAAAAAGAATATTAATACATTTGTATAAAAGTACAGAAGTATGAAACAAATTTAGCCTTAAAAATGAATGTAGACTAAATAAATTTAGTCTTTATAATATATACTATTTTATAAGGTACTATTATTTCTAAAAAAAAGTTCTGACTTTTCTTAAATGATAATTATATCATTTACCTCAAATGACAGTATAGCTTAGATTTGTAATTTCAGTTCTATTTATAAAACAGTTTTGGAAAACACAGCTCAAATACAAACTGGTGAGACTTTTGTGTTCTCTAATTGTTAACGATAACTCGATTATTCAGGAATTAATTAAAATACTGAGTTTATTACCTAGTTCCTTGCTTCTTTTTTCTTGCCTGCTTTTTTGATACTCATTATTTATTTATAACCTTAATCAGAGGAACTCAGGCACAAAGAAGATAGAACTTCTCATGTTTATTTCTTATTAAACGGTGTGTTAAGAAATTGCTCGGAGGAGGACATTTAACTTCCTGCCCAAAATAAGGATTCTGAATAAAGATTTTAACTATGTTTAATCTCATTCCAGCTCTCACAAGGAGTCAAAAAGCACGATGCTGTTTTTCCTTTTTTTTTTTTTT